CTTCCCTTGTGGTACATCGAACATCATTAATAATATGGAAAGCTGACTCATTTTGTTGAATCGGAGAATTACTCCGATTAATATCCATTTTTCCATGAAATAAAAAAAAATAATAAAATGATAATGTGGACAACAATTTACTGTTTCCCTTGAATCGATCTGGCGAGTCAGCAGGTATTTTTGATTTTATTCACTATTGCTTAATTTAATTTTTATATTTTTACAATTCTTTTGTTATAATTTTACTTTTGACAAATATACTGATTTTTATTTGTTTTTAGAAATGATGGTGATTCCCACCCTGGAATATTTATTTACTATTTAGCTATAAAAAAAATAAAGGAATATTGTGACGAGCATAAAATGCCGCGTCACAATATATATATATATATATATATATATTTCCAACTATTTGTCATGTAGTTTTTTCATCCGTCGGACCAACCATGTTCCAGAGTTTGGCCAACCAGATCTTAAAAGTCTTTCAAACTATTTTTCCCAGAGTTTTGCCAACCTTCGGACCAACCATGGCCCAGAGTTTGGCCAACCAAAGCTTTTAAGTCTTTTAAACTACGTTTTTTGGAGTTTTGCCAACCTTCGGGCCAACCATGGCCCAGAGTTTGACCAACCAAAGCTTTTAAGTCTTTTAAACTACGTTTTTCGGAGTTTTGCCAACCTTCGGGCCAACCATGGCCCAGAGTTTGACCAACCAAAGCTTTTAAGTCTTTTAAACTACGTTTTTCGGAGTTTTGCCAACCTTCGGGCCAACCATGGCCCAGAGTTTGACCAACCAAAGCTTTTAAGTCTTTTAAACTACGTTTTTCGGAGTTTTGCCAACCTTCGGGCCAACCATGGCCCAGAGTTTGACCAACCAAAGCTTTTAAGTCTTTTAAACTACATTTCCCGAGGTTTTGCCAGCCAGTGGGCCAACCATGGTCCAGAGTTTTGCCAACCAAAACTTATAGGTCTTTTAAACTACATTTCCCGGGGTTTTGCCAACCAGTGGGCCAACCATGGCCCAGAGTTTTGCCAACCAAAACTTATAGGTCTTTTAAACTACGTTCCCCGGAGTTTTGCCAACCAGTGGGCCAACCATGGCCCAGAGTTTTGCCAACCAAAACTTATAGGTTTTTTAAACTACATTTTTCGGAGTTTTGCCAACCTTCGGGCCAACCATGGCCCAGAGTTTGGCCAACCAAAGCTTTTAGGTCTTTTAAACTATGTTTGCTGGAGTTTTGCCAACGGTTGGCCCAACTCTGGGTTAAGGTTGGCCCGATGGTTGGCTAAACTTTGCAGTCCAAAGTTAGCATGCAAAGTTGGCCCAACCATGGGTTCATGTAATCACCAAAGTTGGCCCAACTTTGGCGGACCAAACTTTGCATGCCAAAGTTAGGCCAACCTTGGGCCAACCATCAAACTCTGGCGGCCAACCTAAATTCGCACGTGGGAAGTACTTAAATTTAAGAAACTGGTATATTAGAGTGTAATTCATATACAAAGTATATTAAATTTTGTCACTGAAAAAAATTCAAATTAAAAAATTGCATTTTACTCAATTTATACATGTTCTTGTGTACAAAATAAGGTTTTTATTAATAAAGCAAAGTAATTTCTTTCATGTAAATACAAGTTTAAATCAATTTACATTGTAAAAATGCATATAATTTGACATTTATAGTACTTAACCTAAATGTCACATATAAGTATTAAAATTCTTGTATTTAGAATGTTTTTTTTGAAAAATTTTCCCCTTATAAAACATTATTTGGACATAAACAACACAATAGTTAAAGAATTACGCACTGTTGTTTTAATTTCAAATAAATTTTCAACATCAAGGAAATAATGATCGTTTGGTGAAATAGGCATCTACAGCCGCCATGTTGTCACTTTAAATTTAATATACATGTATCTTAGATTTCAATACCTGTAGTGCATATTCGCTTCATACGCATGTATATTAAATCTAATACAGATTTTTCTAACAGTGTAGGTCAAGTTTGTCTTTCTTTTTCTTTTGCTGCGTTGAAGTGACGAGCCCCCACAGACAAGCCTATCTACTTTTATCATAAAGAAGCTCTCCTATTATCTAATCATTGTTGTGGCATTTTTCAACCTGGTAAAATATTTCATAATCATTCGTTTCTTAATTTATAATTATATCAGTTCTCGAATATTTACCCATTTAAATAATTATAAAATATATGAGGCAAAATTTCTGAAATGATTAATTTTTATTTATATAACTAAAAAAAGATTTTGTGTTTGCAACAAAGTCGTTTGGTTAGGCAATTTTGGTTTTTGTAACCAAATTTTGGTGGGCTAAAACAAAGTCGTAGAGTTATCTCAACCAAACATTTGGTTAGGCCAAAAAAAATTATTTGGTTGAACATTTTTAAATTCTAACCAAAATTTAGTTACGACAACAAAATAATTTGATTAATACAACAAAATAGTTTGGTCTAAAAAAACTAAATGATCATTTTGTTGTCCTAATGAAAATTTGGTTACAACAACCAAATAATTTAGAAACGCATGATTATATGTTCTAAAAATCATTAATTAGAATTTTCATTTTATAGAATTTCATTTTTCATAATTATTTTTGAGCCAAATTTTTATTTGTTCAGAATTACAGAATTTTTACTTAACCCCTTCGCAGTCGAGGCCAAAATCTCATAAGTGTGGGCCCAAAATGTCAGTAAATTTTTGAATGACCAAAATTTGTGCAAATGTGTATACTATGGTATTTAAGGTCGCTGATTACGATTCCAAAGTCAGATTTTTAAAATTCAAAATGGCGGAGCCAATATGGCGGACGATTTTTTCAAAAAATGGCAAAAATGATTTAAAAATACTTAAAAATTGTTACTTCCCGGGGTTTTTGGGGTCGCTGATTACGAATCTAAAGTCAGATTTCAAAAATTCAAAATGGCCGAGCCAATATGGCGGACGATTTTTCAAAAAATGACAAAAATAATTTTAAAATACTTAAAAATTATTACGCCGAGGTTTTGAACGTCGCTGTTTACGATATTCAAGTTAGATTTTAAAAATTCAAAATAGCCTAGTATGGGTGTGATTATTATTGTATCCATTTTTAATTTTTAAAATTTTGTAATTCTGACATCAAATTCGGAATCAGCGACCCCAAAAACTCCCGAGTAACGAGTTTCAAGCGTATATGATCAATTTTCAAAATTTTTGGTCGCCATATTGGATCCGCCATTTTGAATTTTGTAAATCTGACATCAAATTTGGAAGCAGCGACCCCAAAAACCCTCGAGTAACAAATTTTAGGCCAATTCCGTCTTATTATTGGGCTCAAAATTTATGTGCGTGTATACACGTCATGGACACTTTGAGCCCATCGACACCCAAGGGGTTAACCAAAAAATCATTTAACCGAATTTCTAATTGATAGAATTTTCATTTGTCCGAAATTGCAAATGTCCGAACAAACAATCAATTTCGGCGCGATTTTTAAAATCAACCAATCAAAAATTATCCATAAAATTGTGATTGGTTGATTTTAAAAATCGCGCCGAAATTGATTGTTTGTTCGGCCATTTGCAATTTCGGACAAATGAAAATTCTATCAATTAGAAATTCTGTTAAATGATTTTTCGGTTAAGTAAAAATTTTGTAGTATGAAAAATCGATTATATGGAAATTATATGAAATAATAATTCGAACAAATGAAAATTCATCTGAAAGAATAAAATGAAAATTCTATGCAATGAAATTCTACCCAATTAACCCCTTGACAGTCCAGGGCCCATATGTGGTCAGAAAAAGTCGTGCCACCTTTGTGCAAGTGGCCATATATGGCCATCGCAAAAAAAATAATACTAAATTTAATTTGATTCGCCTGAAATTTGTTACTCGGGGGTTTTTGGGGTCGCTGAAGATGTCAGATTTAAAAAAAAACAAAATGGCGGACCCAAAATGGCGACCATGAAAACTTAAAATTTATCAGATTTACATGAAACTCGTTGCTCAGGGGTTTTCGGGGTCTCTGATTACGAATCTGAGGTCGGTTTTTCAAAATTCAAAATGGCGGATCCAATATGGCAACCCAATATGGCGGATAATTTAAAAATTAATGCATTTTGACCACAAATTGTTACTCGGGGGGTTTTCGTAGTCGCTGAATTCGAATTTGAGGTCAGTTTTTCAAAATTCAAAATGGCGGATCCAATATGGCGGACAAATTTTTAAAAAATCAATCCGATTTGTCTGAAATTTGTTACTCGGGGGTTTTTGGGATCGCTGAATTCGAATTTGAGGTCGGTTTTTTGAAATTCAATATAGCGGATCCAATATGGCGGACAAATTTAAAAATTTTTTTTTTTAAATTTGTCCGCCATATTGGATCCGCTATATTGAATTTCAAAAAACCGACCTCAAATTCGAATTCAGCGACCACAAAAACCTTAAATATGATGAAGTCATATTTTTTTGGAAACTTTTTTTTCGGACCGTTTTAGGCCCACCAGCGATTTTTAACTGGACTGCGAAGGGGTTAAAAATTCTTTAAAATGCCTATTATATTAAATGAAGATTCCAGAAAATAAAAATTCGTCTCAAAAATAATTATGACAAATGAAATTCCATAAAATGAAAATTCTAACTAATGATTTTTAGAACATAATCACGTATCCCTATGCCCAAAAAAACATTCAATCAAATTTTTTGATTGATTCAAACAAATAGTTTTGTTGCTTATAAATAATGACAATATTTATTTTATTGGACCAATCAAATTTTGGTTGCTCTAACTAAACATTTTTCTCAGTGTGCATAAAGTAAATTGTTAATTAGAAACTAATTGACCACAATGCAAGAGACTATGTATATATATGTATGTATGTATGTATGTATGTATGTATGTATGTATGTATGTATGTATAATACAAACTTGAACTTTGCCACGCGGTCGTCGACGCGCGCAACTTGCGAAACCAATAAGCGAAAGACTCTCGCGGAATCGCGACCGTTCATCTCTTTCCCTCCTCAATATTGTAACTCGTGGTGCTCGGTGCAATCACTTGCGTGCTGAACGCGCTCCAAATAGGATGTGTTATTCACACCTTTTTTTTACGCACACACAACTTTGATTACATTTCAAAAAAAAAAAAGTGCTTCTATTTTTATAATTCTTTCTCGCTGTAAAAACCTGAGGCACAATTATATTTAACGTCTTTCAATGCAAAAGTGTATATTATTTTACATCTTATCTCTATCTTCGTTTTTTGTGTCAAAAGAACTTTTAAAGAAAGTTGAACATTAGAAAGACTTCACGTGCGTGAAGATTATCGCCTCAGGTAAGATATGTTATTTCATTTTTGAAAGTAGGAAAGTTTGACCGCGACTTGCTCCAAAATTAGAATATTAAAAAAAAAAATAATAATAATAATAAATTTAATTTAATGGAGAGAGAATGGCATAGTGACATTTATTATTTTATCTGATTAAAAATTTTTTTTTTTTTCATATTGATATAGATTTTTCTATATATTTTTCTATTTATTTATTTATTTGTAATTTACGAGCAATTACCATAAATAATAATAATTTTAATATTTAAAAAATATATTTGAATCTCCCCCTCACCTTTTTTTTTATTGAAAATTTTATAAAATTCTTGTTTAGTTTACCTTATTAGTTCGAGTAAATTTTACCTATTAATTACATGGTAGGGAAATATTTACTCGCTGCTTGCTAGTTTATTATTATTTTTTAATTACACGTAATTGAAGGAATAGGAAATAAAAATTTCACGTTAATACTTATCAGCTTTTATTAAAATTATACAAAATTTTTCAAAAAAAAATGTTGGGTTGAACAAAACATAAATATTGTTATTTTGAATATTTGATGTTTTTATTTTTGTTATTTTATATTTATAATTATTTATAATTTTTCACCAATTTCTTTTTTTACAATGGAAACAAAATTGTTTGTTATTTTGAACATTGACAATTTTTATTTCTTTTACCATGAAACTTTTAAATATTTTTTTTAACATAGAAAATTGTTATTTTTTTTTACTATATTATTATTTACATGAATTTCTTTTCAATTTGTTAGTTATTACATAAAAAAAAGTAAAAAAATAATAAAAAGAACACGAATAGAAAAATTTTGATGTGGCAGCGAACTATTTGCTGTCACAGAAAATTACGTTAGCTAATATATGGAAAGCAAACAATTTTTCTGTGGGGTCAAAAAAGTTTGCTGTGAGAGTAAATTTAAAAAAAAATTAAGACTAATATTTCTTATCACAGCAAACTTTTTCGTTGTCATAGCAAAAAATTTAGCTGTGGTTACTAAGTTTGCTAGATCCGATAGAAAACATCAGTGAGAATTTGTAAGCAATTTCTTTTTTTCCGTGTAACAAAAGTAAAAACAGCGAATATAAAAATAACAATGTTTTGTCCAACCTAACATTTTTTTTTTGTTGAAAAATTTTCTGTAATTTTAAAACCAACTCATTAACATTACTAAATAAAGAAATAAAAATTTTTCCATTATTTTCATGATTCAATTAATTGAATCTTTAAATATGTGATAATATTCAAATTTTACGATTATTGAAGAATTCTATTTGGTTCTTTTTTTGTATCAAAAGTAAATATCGGTTAATAAACTTTATAGAAAATCAATATACGTAATAATTTTTTCATATAGATGTCGAATACTTTCTCTGGATTGGAATTTTTTTTTTTTTTTTTATCTCAGACCTGCTTTTACTTGGTGTAACTTTTTACGTCCATTTAAATTATATGAGCTTTAAAACATTCACTCTATATACTATTGCTTTAAAGAAAATACCTTCACTTATTGATAATTTCTTAGTTTTTGATTCAAAAATTTTTATTTAAAAAAAAAAAAAAAAAAAAGATAAAATTGGTTAAACAATCATAACAAAAGTATAAGTCAAACTATATTTTTCGATTTTTTAAATAAAATAATAATTTAGTTAAAATATTTAAATATAGAATTTAAATTTTAATAGAATATATTGAACTATTGAAAATTGCATTTTTATGAGAAAAAATTAATAATATAATTTAATTAATAAATACCTAATAATAATAATAAAAATAAATTTCAATTTAATTTAATGATAAAACATAAAAATGCAACCAACTTTTTGTTTCGACTATCTGTCTGATTCTTGCTTATAAATAAGAGTGCTCTTTAAATTATTAATGTATGAAAAATCTATATAAGCGTCTGATTTTAAAATCTTGTTTAATTTCAAAATTAATTCTATTTAATTTATATTAAAATTTCTTTATCAGAAATTAATTTTAAATTTGCCATTAGTAGTTGTCACTGCTTCATATTTATCGACGCAGTTTTCTTTTCATTAAAAAAAAAAAAGTAATAATATATTCTCTTCAAAGTAACTTAAATATGTTTTTAGTTAACAGAATGTCATTTTAATAGTTACACATTATAATACTTAAAATTATAGATATTTATAGTTTATAAATAAAATAAGTAAATTCTATATTTATACTAAATATTTATCGTAAAATTAAATGTATCGTCGAATTAAATTAATGAATTAATACAATAATAATTATGTAAAAATATTTGTAGATAGCATTAAAATTCATTGTTTTTATAAATCATATAATTTATTAGTGTCCACTCATGAAAGAATTGTATAAAGAAAATCGGATTTTATTTTTGTTGAAACTATTTTTATTTCATAGGTCGCGAATAACATTTTTCAAATTAAATTCCATGAATTACTGATTATATACTTCTTCTTTTTTTTCATGCCTTCAGAAATAAAGTGTGATAAATTTTTTCACAAGTTGTTCGACTTTAAAAATTGAACTTAAAACGCGTCCTTGAGTGTCGCTTTTCTGCTACTGACTTTCAAGAGTTTTGCGGTATATTTTTTTAATTCGATGAAACTTTGAGTGTGTGTGTCACTCTCATGCCATTTTATTTTACGTTAACATTCTATTTTTTTTCCTCTTTTTTTTTCTTTCTTTCTTTTTTTTTTTAAAACGAAACGTACTTTACCTGCTTTTATATTTTTATACTTTTATATAACGTGGAGAATTTTTCTAAATCATTCAAGTTATTGTTATAGTGTATAGTTTTGTTTTCAAAATGATTTTATGAAATTCCATTCTTTATACCTCTGATTTAATAACATTCGTTTGAATAACATTCGAAAAGAGAATATTTTTATACCTTTTTTTTTGGTCCTTTATATTTTGATTTAAATTGTACTTTTTTATATATACATAAGAGAATTCATCGAGGCATGAATAAAAATTTTGTTTGAATTTTAATGTAGATAAAGAGAGATTTATTTGTTGCAAACAAAATTTTTATTTCAAAAATAATTTTAGGAGAAAGTTGGCATCAATGAGACAAAAAAAAGATATAATAATTAACAATAATAATAATAATAATAATAATAATAAAATATATAATTATATAATAATTATTATTTCATATAATATTTTGCATTGATATATATTCCAATGTCTTTTTTTCATCTTATGCTTTGTGGTCCGTTCTTTCTATATAATCAAACGTCCTAACCTAGAAAAAACAATTGGCGCGAAATTTTCATTATCCTATTGGTCGAAATCAAAATACTCTAGCAGACTATATTCTATAATCATAGTTGCCAATTCCCACTTTTGATAAACTTAAAATTTTTTGTCCCATTTTTAAAGAGGAATATTACACGTTAACATAACCTCAAAGTTTTCAATTTTGAGGTTATGTTAACGTGTAACATTCCTCTTTAACGAGTCATTTTATTTATCTTATGTTTGTAGTCCGTGCTTTTGATATAACACGGTGCGCCAGAAGGTGGTTTAAATAAAAATGAATTGGCACTTAAAAATTCTTTTTGATTATGATTCTTAGATGAATAACAAACATTTCTCAATAGTTTTGAAAATCAGTTTACGTGCCCGATTTAAATAAAATTGAGTTTTTATATAAAAACAGTGTTTTATGGGGAATCAGAATTTATTTAATCTAATAAATACTGTAATAAATGATAAAATAATTACTTATTTTCAATTTTACATATAAATAATTATATTGCTGTAGTGTTTGTGTCCAATTTTAAAAAATTAAATTATAATGTTAAAAGAACGATTTTAAGAGTGACAAAATTTATTTAAGAGAGTCGAATGGTCTCTGAAATTTTTTGGCAAGAAGAGACCTTTAATTATCGCTCTATAAAAACGGCACTAAACGTGAAAATGATAAACATTGATTTTAAAATACTTTCTTCTCGAAAGACAGACACTTTTTACAAAAGCAGCTAGAGATCGTTATCTTATATAAATTTCCTAAATCCGAAAGATTATGCGAATCCATACAAAAACACGATTGCAAAACGAAAAGTAATATAATGAGGGGTTTATTACCTCCTGCCGCCGTCAGATGGCAGCAGCATGCAGGGCGCACAAAGTCGCAGCTGTTATTAGATTACTTTTCTACTTTTTGTTTTGCAACCATGTTTTTCTATGGATTCGTACAGTCTTTTGGATTTAGGAAATTTATAAGATGAGGATTTTGGCTGATTTTGTTAAAAGTGTTCGTGTTTCGAGAAAAAAGTATTTTAAAATCAATACTATTTCACGTTCAGAGCGATAATTAAAGATCTCTTCTTGCCAAAGAATTTCAGATACACAGATAATTAAAAGGCATTAAAATAAGCTGCAGCGCTTATTATTTTAATCCAATTTTGCTTATTTTAATCCATTTTGGTATTAAAATAAGCAAAATTGGATTAAAATAATAAGCGTTGCAGCTTATTTTAATACCTTATAATTTTCTGTGTACCGATCGATACTCTTAATGCATAAATATAAAAACGAAACAAGAAAATGATTTTAAAAACTATTGAGAAATGTTTGTTATTCATCTAAGAATCATAATCAAAAAGAATTTTTAAGTGCCAATTCATTTTTATTTAAACCACCTTCTGGCGCACCGTGATAATCCTAACCTAAAAAAAATGTGGCGCGAAATTTCCATTGTATTTTTGGTCGAAATCAAAATAGTCTAGCAGACAACATTGTAGGATCAGAGTTGCCAATTGCTACTTTTGATAAACTTAAAAAATTTTTTTCTTTGTTCCATTGTTAATCATCCTTCACTGAATAAAAAAAATATAATCTAAAGAAAATATTTAAATTATTTTATTTATTTATTTATTACACAAATTAAATTTGTGGTTGTTATATTGACTATAAGTAACTATATTATATATTTAATTTTTTTTATTATTAAAAAATTTACCAAAATTAATTGAAAATACGTGTTT